GATCGGCAACGCGGATCAGACGCCGGTCTACCTGGATATGCCCTCGGCGCTGACGGTGCATCAAAAAGGCTCCAGGCAAGTTATCGTGCGGTCGACTGGAAACGAAAAAACGCGGGTGACTGTAATGTTATCCTGCACGGCTGACGGTCGCAAGCTGCCACCCTACGTGGTGTTCAAACGAAAGACGCTGCCGAAGGGGGAGAAGTTCCCGAAAAATGTCGTCGTCCGCTGCCAGGACAAGGGGTGGATGGACGAATCGTTAGTCCTTGACTGGATAAAGTCCGTGTGGTGTCGACGGCCCGGAGCACTGCTGGGGCTCCCTTCGATGCTTGTGCTCGACGCGTTTCGGTGTCACCTGGCCGACTCCGTAAAGCGACTGCTGCGCGACTCCCGCACCGAGCTCGTCGTCATCCCGGGAGGGATGACATCACAGCTGCAGCCGCTTGATGTGTGCCTTAATAAGCCATTTAAGGACCATGTCAAGCGCCTGTACGTGGAGTGGATGAGGTCCGGAGAACCAGAAGTGACCCCTGCCGGACGGCTGAAACGGGCCTCGCCAGCGATGCTCTGCTCGTGGATAGTCGAGGCTTGGGCCTGCATTCCAGAGGCGCTCGTTTGCCGCGCCTTCAAAAAGTGCTCCATCTCCAACGCGCTTGATGGCACTGAGGATGATGTGCTGTGGGAGAACATTTCCGACAAGGGAGCTTCGGAAGAGAGTGCGTCCGACGACGAGGATGAATGAAATGTCAATAAATGCATTTTTTCCATTTTCCTCGGACTATATTCGGGTGAAAACTTTTTTTCTCACGTTTGCTATCCCCGAATTACACCCCGGACTATATGCGGGTCCGAGCTATATGCGGGTTTTTACGGTATGTTGCAAAGGCCCGCATTTTATGTGGTTTGTTTTGATTTGTTGGGAATAAACGTCGGGTACCTGTTAATGGCTCACATTGCTAACCTGCTACAGTGGAATCTCTGTAGAACGAACCCCACAATAACGAACTTTTCAGATTAACAAACTTTTAGAAAATTTAGTGCCGACTGCTAATAGTTTCAATGTAAAATTATTTCGCTACTACACACTTCAGAATACCGAACTTTTCTGAATAATCAGCGTAAATTAGGTCCGCATTATATTAACAAGTCCTCAGTACTATGAACTCATGTTCTGAAATTCGTCGCGACCACCGGAGCGGTACGCAAGAAGACGACAAAACCAATGGACGCCTTGCTTCTCAGAAGACGCGTGATGGTGCGGAGGGGGAAAAAAGTGAAAGGGCGACTTTCTTTTCTTTATTTTTATTGAAGCACCAACGCTGCAGGTTTACAAGTGCAGAGGCGACGGCAACATGGGAGGGCAAGGTCAGCGAGGCAGAGGGCAGAGTGGGAGTTGCGAAGCAGGAAGCATGGACACGGAAAACATGAGACAGCGAGGGAGCAGAAAACGAAACGCCAAGAATTTTCTTTTTAGCACATTTTTTTCTTCGGAAGAGGTGATGACAGTTGCGATGCTTCGGGTTTTTTTTTTTTGTCACTTCTACATGTGCTCTAGGACTAGGAGGCCTTGTTTGTCAGTTGTGTTCATCTCTTTTCGGTGATTACTTATCGCGTCCGCAAAGTAAGTCGGCGTTCACGCTGTGGTGCTACTACGAATGAGTTTGTCTCTGCTTGTGACAAAGAAGCAGAATCAGTTTTTGCTAAGCGAGAAGGTGGATATTCTTCAGTAACTGCAAGGCAAAAAGCAGGCTGTTGTGACCAAAAAACCGAATCGCACCACAGGAATGTGGATGGGCTAGGGCCCTTCGCACTGCAAAGTTTATGCTGCACGTGTAAAAAAAAAAAGACTTCTTTAAAGTAAACATACATTTTTTTGGTATTACCTTGTGCATTAGTTTTTTTTTTTCTCATGAAAAACGAGTTCAAGGACCCACCGTTTAAATGTACATCGTTTTGGTGGAAAATAAGTATTTATGGTTAATTTTTAAGCTTTCACTATAACGGAACAACCTTTCAAAATAATGAACGAATTGCCACGGTTCCCTGAAGTTCGTTATACCGAGATTTCACTGTATTTGCTGATGACATTGCCTTGATGAGTAACTCGGGGGACGAATTACTGAACTGGACACGGAAAGCAGAAAAATTAATATGCACAAAACTAAAGTAGTGTGCAACAGTCTCTGCCGAAAACAGCACTTTGTGATAGTTGGAGAGATGCTGGCAGATGTAAAGGATTATGTCTACTTAGGATAAGTAGTAACCACGGAGCCGTACCATGAGAGTGAAGTAATTAGAACAGTGGTTCTCAACTATGGATCTGTCGGGGACCCCTTGTGGACTGGTGGAAGTGATGGGGGACCCCTGCAGCGCAGGGGAGGGAGGGGTGGGGGTACATAAGTAAATCAACACAACTGGAGCGTGAAACAGGTTCTTTTATTGCTACCAAAAACATCAAACACAAATGTGCCACATCACTTCATTTTGGACAGTTCATTGATACGTGGTGCCATAGAGTTTCATACAATAACACCTAGAGGGGAATCTGGTGCTAGTGTCTACGCGGGCTCGTTCAGCTGTGCTTGCACCCCTATGGGAATTATTGGAAGTACAGGCTTCGAATCTACTTCGGATGGATCACATTCTTGAGATTCGCGACACTTGTTTGCTGAGTGTAAAACAAAGGGATATGAAGGTATGTCTAATTGAAGCTTACTTCATTTTTTTGTACTCACACTTTATGCAAAAGATTTTTGTGACTAGACAGTAGAAGTGAAACCTGGACAGATTTAACCACCAGGGTAGGCATTGCTCTGCCATTGCGTTCCAGATTTGGCATTAAGATGTAATGAATTATTCTTTACAACATTTCAGAACAAACATTGTTGTTTTGCTTTCAAAAGTACTCAATATCTATTTATGTAAATAACAGCGCAGTATTAACGTTTCGTCTGCTGCAATGCCAGGTGCATCCCTTGAAGCGGTCTGCCCCCAACGTGCCTCTCGTTTTGTTGTGAAGTCGAGTCAGAAGAGCATGATGGTGTGGCAACTTCGCGTCGCCGTCGTTTTTTAGTTTATTTCAACGAGTTTTGGCAAGACTCACTAAGAACAAATGTGAACTCGATGTAATATCCTGCACTGGCATGGGACGCTACATTTATGCGCAGCAATGAGTGGAAAACGCTTCGCTTAAACTGTCAAACACTACCTATACAGCTCCAGCATTCCAGTAAATTGAGAGGCCGAGCAGTTTTCAGCTTCTTTGAATAAGAAAGGCGCAGATTCAGTCCTTTGCATCCACCCCACTACCCACTTTACAGGAAGAACGAAACTGAAACTGTAGAAAAAGATCCGTAGACAGTTTACTGGCTAACGCAATCCAATCTGAAGGCTGTACTTCCCATAATTCCCATGAGGTACACGATCGCAGCACCAAATTTCACTCTAGATATTATTGTATGAAAATTTATGCATGGCACAGTCACATTTAAACAGAGTTTAAGTGCCACTTAAAAAACAAAAATAAATAAATAAAAAAAGCGAGTGAGTGTTTCGCGGATCATAGAAATAGCTTCGCGGACCCTAGGGGGTCCGCTGACTGCCATTTGAGTACCACTTAATTAGAAGAATAAGGACGGGGTGGATCACATTTGGCAAGCACTCTCATATCATGACAGGCAGATTGCCACTAATCCTCAAGAGGAAGGTATATAACAGCTGCATCTTGCCGGTACTTAGCTATGGAGCAGAGACCTGGTGATTTGCAAAAAGGGTTCAGCTTAAATTGAGGACGACGCAGCGAGCAATGGAAAGGAAAATGGTAGGTGTAACCTCAAGAGACAAGAAGAGAGCAGAGCCGGTCAGGGAACAAACCGAGGTTAAGGATATCATTGTTGAAATCAAGAAGAAGAAATAGACATGGGTCGGGCACGTAAATGTAGGCAGAATAGCCGCTGGTTATTAAGTGTAACTGACTGGATTCCCAAAGAAGGCAAGAGGGTGAGAAGGAGACAGAATTTTAGGTGGGCAGATGAGATTAAGAAGTTTGCGGGCATAAAGTGGCAGCAGAAAGCACAGGACCGGGTTGATTGGTGGCTCATGGGAGAGGCTTGCCCTGCAGTGGGCGTAGTCAGGGTGATGATGATAATGCAGTCACACATCTAACATTAACATTTGTTTTAAGCTTTTTAAAACAGTGCAATATAAATAAATACCTTATAACAGTCGTTTAGATGCACTATCTGTTGGTTTACATAAATGTCCCATGCATTGTCACATTTCTCTAGGCCTGGTCGTGCACAACAGCAGTGGTATTGCCATGGCATTGACAACTTCTGCAACATGCAGAAATGATATTACAGCGGTAAAGTTTTACCTTCCAGCTAGTGAAATGGCATTGGAAGCACTAGTCACATTATTTTTACTAGCTTTGTTTTTCACCATTCTGTCACAAGAATGATTGAAGACAAAAGTTTATTGGCTGTTCTGATTGATAAAGAAAAAGGCGCTTAAAAAGAAAAATTATTTTCTAGTATTAGTGAATTACTTGACGGGAATTTCGAGCGTAAAAAACATCATTCACAAGAATGTGAGAATACAAGACAGGTGCTAACACACTTAGTGCCCATCCAGTCCAAGATGAGGTACATTGCGGGGAATTCTTAGGTATCCTAAAGTCATAAAACTAAGACGAGTATAAAGCTTTGCACTAGAAAATGAGGCAGCAAGTTAATTTAATCTTCTGGGGTATATGTAGCATGCATGTGTGTATGTATCAATTTTATTTAACCCGGTACTATTGCTGAAACATCGAGGCTCAAATTTTACATTGAAAAAGGGTCTGGTAATTACCCCAAAATGTTGATTTGCCACCGCATTGTGTGCTTTTAGCTGCTTCTGAAGCTGTGCTAAAGTGGCTTCACTCAGCCACATCAGTGGTTTGTTTTATTCTGTTGTTTGCTAGGCTGACCACCTATAATTTATTTTCTGATGTCTTCTAGGTTAAAGTTGTCATCCTTGGACAAGACCCTTACCATAACCCAGGCCAAGCTCATGGTGAGCTCCTCAATTTATATTACTTTGTGTTTGATAATGCTGAGTGCTTTGTAATGGGTGGACCTCAAAGTTCCACCAAGTTCATTGATTACTATCCTTATAGCATCAATAAAGTGTGCAGCCGAGTAGGTGCACATGTTATCCTGCATATGCATAGTAGGTACTTCGCTACTTGAAAATGAATTACAGTCTATTCCCGTAATCCCGTTACAACGAAGTTCACTACAATTAAATTTCCACCACAGCGAACAATTTTTGATTCTCTGTCAGCCACCCATAGAAAACAATGGGAAAAATGTTTTGTCACAACAAATACTTTTCCTCAATATTTCCGCTTTAAGGGGAGATGCTACTCGAAGACACTTTTTTTTCATATTCACCCTAGAGCAATGAAACTTGAGCTGTTTATGGTACTTTTTATGCTGATTTGAAATGTATAATTAGTTTTCTTGCAAGTTACATACTTTTAGCTCTGCAACATGACAAAGTGAAAACCTCAACCCTTTTGCCCCCCCCCCCCCCCCTCTTTTCATCCCTAAACTTCCATAATTTTTTACCATTCATAGTTCATAATGTTTGAAATGAAGTGTAGAATGCAAATAAATAATTAGGAAGTACATACAAAATACTTTATAGGCGTGAAAAATAATAGACATAAAAGTCCGTATTTAACCTACCCTGATAAAGATTTACATACAATTTTTTATTATGCAATAAAATATTGAAATTTAAGCTAGATAATTGTATTTGTCATACTTTGGAAAAAATTTGGGCAACATTTTACGCAGATCCGAGCACTAGAAGTGCCAGAAAAAGGAGGGGCACATTAAAAAAAAAGGCAGAATTTGTGGTTTGAGAAAAACGAGTTTTAAAGTTAAAATTGAGTTTTTATTTATGAAATATATCATTAAATCTGATGAAATTTGCACACCAAAAAGAACAATTCTTCTTGTAGTGGCCACTGCCACTAAAATACGCCAGCACCATGAGTTTGTATCTCTCGGCTTTTTCGAGTCGACTCCTCACAGACACTTCGCTCACAGACAGGGCCATGAAACGCTTGCCAAACTTCTGCTCCATTTGTCTGTCAGAGCCTTGTGCCAACTGCAAGCTAAAAAGAAGTTCGACAGGACTGCGAAATCTCAACTAAGTCCAGTGTCATGCCATTTTGCGGCCATGTCTGTGCCACATACCATCGTACATAATGGCAATCTCATCCCTGCTAAGTTCCCTCACTGTGAGCTCTTTCGACCTCACAAGATTGGCGCTGACGTCATCCGTTGCCGCATCACGAATGAGACTCCCACTTATGACTCCCACTTCTTAGGCGACACTTCTCGTCAAAACAGCGCTCTGTTATTTGCTTATCCACGCACAGCGCTGAAGCAAATATGCAGTCAAATCTCCACAATATTAAATTGGGTCGGGGTTACGTCCGCTCTTCTGTCTGTTCGTTTGTCTGTCTGTGCTTCTATTCGTGCGGCCGTCCCTCTGTCTGTCTGTCCGTCCATATGTCTGCCTCTCTGTCTGTCTGCCTGTCCGTTCATCTGTATGTTCGTCTGTCTATCTAGTGAACACTTCAAGTACAGCCATCTCATATCTTTTCATCATGTATTCGTCATATACAAGTGCCGCCATCCAGCGGACATTCTAAGGACCGCTCTTTCGGGTATGTGCCACCGGTGGTTACACACTACAAGGGACGCACAAACCATGGCATAAGGAGCTTCACCTCTAAAATAAACACTGATATGAGATTTAGTCATTGTTCAGCTGTAGGCTTGTCTTGATCTAAACTTCATGAAACATGCTTGTGGCTTTCAGGTAATAATCCTTATCATTGCAAGTTGTTGTAAATGTGGGCATTTCATTTCAAATTTCCTGTAGGAGAAATGATAAATTGAAGCAAGCAATGAAAAAGTGAGAAATTAAGGTAATCTGTTTTCACAAAAATGGGGCGAGCGCCTAGTTCCTCGATTCGATAGATTTTTGGAGCTTACGATACTAAGCTTGTTATCAATAAGTGTAAACATAATTGAGATCCAGCTTTTTGAATTATTTCAAAGGGGAATTCAGATACTAAATGGTGTTTGTTAAAAAAAAGACTAATAGATTTTTTTTGCGCACCTTCTAGTTTGTAAATTTATTTGTAGGCAATAACACAACAAAGTTAGCATATTGAAATAGAAGCCCGGAAAAGGTGCTAAAAAGGCAGAAAGTTTCATTTTATGTGCTTTTGAATATACACCTTTTAATAAAAAAAAGTCTTTTTGATTGGAAGTGATACTTCATGCTTTATTTACCTGGGCCTCTTCATCGTCATCATCATCAGCCGGACTGTGTCTACTGCAGGACAAGAGCCTCTTCCATGCTAGTCAACTCGGTCCTGCGCTTGCTGCTGCCAATTTATACCTGAAAACTTCTTAATCTCATCTGCCCACCTAACTTTCTGTCTCCCCTTAACCTGCTTGCCTTCTCTTGGAATCCAGTTAGTTACCCTTAATGACCAGTGGTTATTCTGTGTACGCGCTAGATGCTCGACCCATGTCTATTTCCTCTTTTTGATTTTAACTATGATATCCTTAACCACGGTTTGTTCCCTGACCCATTCTGCTATCTTCTTGTCTCTTAAGGGTTTTTCTATTTCTCGCTGCGTCGTCCTCAATTTAAGCTGAACCCTTTTTGTAGCCCTCTAGGTCTCTGCTCCATAGCTAAGTACCGGCAAGATGCAGCTGTTATATACAATCCTCTTGAGGGATAGTGGAAGCCTACCAGTCATCATTTCAGAATGCTTGCCGAATGTGCTCCACCCCATTCTTATTCTTCTAGTTACTTCAATCTCGTGGTTCGGCTCCGTGGCTATTACCTGCCCTAAGTAGACATAGTTTTTCACAATTACTAGTGCGCTATTACCTATCTCGAGCGCCGTTCTCTGCCGAGGTTGTTGTACATTACTTTCGTTTTCTGAAGAATAATTTTAAGACCTATCTTTCTGCTTTCCTTGTCTAACTCTGTAATCATTAGTTGCAATTCTTCCCTTGATTTACTCAGCAATGCAATGTCATCGCTGAAGCGCAGATTGTTAAGGTACTCTTCATTACCTCTCATTCCTTACTCTTCCTACTCTAGGCCTCTGAACACCTCCTGTAAGCACGCGGTAAAAAGCATTGGGGAGATTGTATCCCTCTGCCTTACACCCTTCTTGATTGGTATTCTGTTGCTTTCTTTGTGAAGCACTATGGTAGCAGTTGATGCCCTGTAGATTTATTTAAAATGTTTTTATATGCTTCGTCAACGCCCTGATTTCGCCGTGTCTGCATGACTGCTGATATTTCTACTGAATCAAACGCCTTCTCGTAATCTATGAAGGCTATGTATAGTGGATGGTTATACTCTGATCATTTCTCTATTACCTGATTGATAGTATGAATGTGGTTGATTGTTGAGCAGCCTGTTCGAAATCCTGCTTGTTCCTTTGGTTGATTGAATTCTAATGTTTTCTTTACTCTGTTAGCAATTACCTTTGTAAATAGCTTATATACTACAGAGAGCAAGCTGATCGGCCTGTTATTCTTCAATTTCTTGTCATCTCTTTTCTATGTATTAAGATGATGTTAGCGTTCTTCTAAGATTCTGGTACTCTTCCCGTCAGGAGACACTTGGTAAACAGGGTGGCTAGTTTTTCTAGCACAATCTGTGCTCCGCCTTTCAGCAGATCTGATGTTACCTGGTCCTCACCAGCAGCTTTGCCTCTTTGTATTCCCTCCAAGGCTTTTCTTACTTCTTCTATCATTACTGGTGGGTTGCCATCTAGGTTACTGCTAGTTCTTATAGTAAGGTCGAGGGGGTCCTGGCTACTATACAGATCTCTGTAAAACTCCTCCACTATTTTAACTATCCTATTCATATTGGTAATTATTTTGCCTTCCTTGTCCCTTAGTGCATACATCTGCAGGGTGTCTACCAACCTGGAAAACCTGGAAAAGTCAGGGAATTTTGGACCCTTATGAAAAAGTCATGGAAAAGTCGGGGAATTCGTTAAAAGTCTGGCCTGGGTCATGTAAACTGACTGTAGCCCGTGTGACCATCATAAAAATAAGCATTACCATAGATCAAAGCTTAAAAAGCTACTCCGCTGGCAGCAACAGTGAACAGCGAAAAGTTGTGTGGAAAAAAAAAAAGCAGTGCGCAACTGTTTCTTTTTAGTAAAGACACAAAAGGATGCACCTACCTAAAGAATACAAAGTTTACTGACATTATGGCACCCGCTACGGGAGCCTTGTTCACAAAAACAGCCATAAGAAAAGCACAATGTCCCACTACTGTTTTTTTTTTTACTTTAGGACTCTCGCCTGTATATTTTTTCTTGATCTTGCAACTTTTTTTTAACAATAAACTAGAAATAAAAAAATGACATGAAGTACGCTTAAGTAAGTGACGTAAGCATCATTAGTACATTGTTGGAAGCGTTCCTTCTCTCTTGTTCAGCATATGAACAGATGTCTGCATGTGCTGGTATTTGAAGTGCAGGCATGATGCAACTTTTCCTTTGGCCAGAACACGCACACCTGACCAGTCAGTTTGGTGGCCTGTAGAATCCACATGTTTAGCGAGGGCATATGAGGTCACGTAGTTTCTTGACGTCATATTTATGATTTGTTTAGCAGCGAGGAACATAAACTTTTTGTAGATAGTCGATTCTGGGGGATAGTGAATCAAAGGGGTTTTTAACTCTTTATTTGTTGAAATCGGTGGTCTCACCGATGTATTGGTTGTCACAATTGTGGTAGCCTAAAGAAAAAACAAACAGTGGAAATTTTCGCTTGGCAACTTGTCCTTCACATTGTCCAAAGCGTTCCCTAGCTTCTATATTCGTACATACACTATGTTGATGTCTGTTGCTTCTAGATATCATGCAGCGTATCTGACTTCTTGGTCACTACATGATTCACGTCATTAAATTTGTGCATGTTTGTCTTGACCATGATTTGGCTCGGCTT